CCCTTCGCACAACTGTCACACGCGATAGTGGTCGTCGTCCCTTTTTTTATTTTATTTATATATTCGTGTGTTGCCGACCGTGGTGTGTGTGTCTATTGCGGTGGTGAATTCTTTTATGCGTCTCCAATATCTCGTCTGCTGTCGTACTACTACTGTTTGTCGCCGGCCGGACGATTCCGAACGGGGGAGCGTTTCTAGGAGAATATATATAACGTTATATAAAAAACAATAAGTTCGACGAATCGGTAGTGATAAAAACACTGGTCGGCGGACGCTGTTTGCCCAAAGGGACCGTGAAAAATTATCGTAAAAAATACGAGGACCGAATATCGCGTCGGGTCGTCGTTGCCGCAGTAAAACCGACGACATTTAATTTGTGGCTTCGAAGAGGTATAAAAAAAAAAAAAAAAAATAACGAAAACGATACCGGTTATTAATATTATCGTCAATATTTTGACGTATCGAATGGCATCGCCGCCATAGAGCCGCGGCAAAATACGGCTTCGTGTCCACTAAAGGGTATAATTGATATTGTGTACGCACACACACTCGCGGACTTATAGGCGCGTTTGCACATACGGGTGGGCGAGAAACGCGATACTAATTTGGAAACAAAGAGGAGAAATTTTGGAATCCTTACCAGTGTCGTTTGATAACAATTATTAAAAACGACGCGTTTTCGTGTACGTTATTGGCTCGCGCGCGATCCGCCGACGGACGTCGTCCTATATTTAGAAAAAAAAAACAAATAAATATGAATACTATAAAACGAATTAACGAATAACAACAATTTGACCGCTACTTATTTTTATTTAACTACGTTCGTGGTGTACTACGAGTGTGTCTCTTAGTTAGACGGGTTGACCTTTTTTCTTTATTTTTTTTAATTGTCGTTTTGCCGATTCGCCAACGTTAAGGATACGGTAGTCGCGCGGGTTCCGTACGCGTCTTTATTGTCGTTTTCATTTTACAAGAGCTCGTTGGGGGGGGGGGGCGCTATAGCCCCTCACCGGGCACACCGAAACGGCGGTAAAAGCGTATTAAATCGTCAACCGATTTACCGGCGCGTATTACACACGATTTGTTGTCTAGGTCTATTTATAAAAACTGGTCGGGAGGGCATCGCCGACGACGACACACGCTAACCTCGGAGCGTTTTTAATTTAACGCGTACACGTGTACACACATACACCACAAACCGACAACACTGTACACGGTACGCGTATATCGAATAATTAATAATAACACTAAGAGCCGCAGATGAAACACGTCAATGTTAATGGTTAGCGGGACGTAAATGATGAGCCGGTAGGATTTCTGTCTAAATTTAAAACTCGAATATTCCAAAAAGACGGAAACCCCGTAGCACCGGGCAGAGGGGTAGAAAAAAACATTGAAATTAACAACACAAAACGAGGGTCGTCGACGACGACGGTGACACTTACCGTCAAGTGGGCCGGTGTCAAATAGCTGCCGGAGAAGAAAATATATTACGGTGACGGGGGGGGCACCCCGCGCCGCAGATTTGTTTTTATGTTATGACAGTTAAGACTATAGTAATTCAAAATGAAATATAAATTTAGGGTGGTTCTGTATGAGCATGAGAATGATTGAGTTACTATATATTTATTANATTTATTTTGTTTTCCTCGTAATAGCGGCGTCGGTGGCAGCAGCAGTAATAATAATAATAATAATAATACACCGATAAATATCGTGAGGATGAAGAACCGTCATCTCAACCCCCGACGGCGGCGGCGGTTTGTGCTCGAGCACATGTTTTTTGGTGAAAAAATGTATATTTCTGTCGGACGGAGAAACGGTGGCGACGTAATAATGCAAACAAAACAACGCCGTGGTGTCATCGAGTGACAGAACGCGCCTCTTAAAAACCAAACGCTCTGCCGCACACGACCGGCGCCGCGTACACGATTTTTTCGGAACTCTAGTGTTTCGACGACAGTTTTATTCGCCTATCGGACTCTTTCGTCCGAAACTTTCTCCGAGTGTGTGTGCAATACTCGCCAGTAATTACTCTGAATCGTGTGCCGAATGAACTGGTAGCTCGGGCCAGACGAAAACGCGATGTCTGCCGCAACTGGCTAGATGATCTTTGCTGTTATCTCGTACGAATCAAACGCACGACCGTCGGTTTGGGTAATTACCGTGCGGTGGTACCCGACGGTATACCGGTCGGAACGTCGTAATCTCTGCTCTACGTCGCTAGTAGCGGCGATGTAGACGACCGGCGTCATACGCTACTGGGCCGTGCGCCTTGCCGTCCCATACCGTACCGCAATACCACCGCATACGGTGCTCTCTATCCTCTGTAGTACTGTGTAACGCGACTTCTCCTGTCCTGCTCCGCCGTCGGGAAAACCCGACCGTCCCCTCCTATATCGACTCTACTGCACCGTGTACGCCGACCGCACTCGACGCACACCCGTAACCGCGGCATATTATATTAATACGAAAAACGTATGTTTGACGGGTGGTATGCGAGGGGTGTAGGGGCGGCAATAACGCGCGCGGTGAGCGCGTCCAACAGAGTACCGGCGGCTGCCGTTTTGCGTGTAGATATTTTTCTGGAAATATCGTTTTTTTGTGATCGGGACACGTGTCCACATAGCGCTACTTGCCCGCGGCGCCCACGTCACCAATCGTTGTTGTCAAAGTTGCACGCGGAGTGCGACCGCCGAGCGCCCCTTATCGTCCCGCGGTCTCCCGTATCGCATAAATACGTGAAATTTCGCTCTCCACACTGTGTCGTGTAGCACCCCCNACAGTGGGCGCGTTATAGAGGGGACTACATAGATCGCTCTATAATGGGCACGCGCGTGTTGGGTTTGCGAAAAGCGGTAACGCGACCTGAGCAATCGGACGCGTACAACGATATTTGCGATGGCATACGACCGTCATGAAAAAAGAGTCGCGTTGGCCGCCGCCGAGTGGCGGATCGATTTTCGAGGGTGAAAACAAAATACACGACGTTAGACAAAAGAAAAAAATCTTAAAAAGAAACCGATTCTCACGTCAGCCGAATTTCCTCTTTTGATTTTTGTTTTTAACACGGTTTATCGCGTCGTGTAATAATCGCCCCGAATCGAAAAAACGATCCGGACTGTTTTTTAAAGCGCACACCGATTGATCACGACAAGGCGGCGGGTGTTATTATTGCATTCGCCCATCCATCACTAAGGAATAAGTGTACATATAATACGCGCGTGCATATCGCGTCTCAAGTAGTTTTCGATTCGTCGTTAGTACCGTCGTGCATAACAAATCGAATCGCCGAGTGTAAAATATGCGGTGGCCGACGACCATAAACAATAAAACGAAAATCCGACGGGGTTAGCGCGCTCTTCCGCCCTCGGGAAAATTCAAACTCTTATTACTTCGTCGTCGTAGTCGCCTCGTAATCGTTTCGAGACATTTGAGTCTTACCTATTTACTGATGCATGGCCGTATGTATGTGTGTGCTCTCGCGTTATACAATAAACGACCGACACACTAAATACCTACACACGGCGGCGGTGACGAATCGCCCCCCGACCCGGTGCGTATGATCGATTCCGGAGCTCCGACGGCGGCGGCAGTCTATTCATCCGAAACGCGGACGCTCCACGGTTTAATTCGAATACTTCCGGTCCGTGTACGGTCCTCTTATTTTCACACAGACGCCGCACACACCAAAACGCGATGTGCTTTTTTTCCCGTCGCCATCCGGTTCGACGTAGGCGGCGGCAGTAAAAATAATAACGGGCGATAATTGCGCGCGTATTACAAAGAACGCGATGATTACACGACGACGCGCGCAAACTACACAAAGGGAGTATGCGAAGAATCGATCAGCGCGCGAATACGATATTGTGGGAGCAGGACCCCGGGGGGGGGGGGCTACGATCGAGTAAAATTGTTATTAGTCGGCCACAAATCAACTGGAAGTCGCCCCGCTAGAAGATCGTGGGGTGGTGACGCGGTGTGGTGTGAGATGGATGGGGGGGATTAGCGAGGTAAAAAAAACACATTTAGAATGATGAATAATACGATAAAAAAAAAAAAATAATAACAATAATAGATTGATTGTAATCAATTTTAAAAACCGCTTATTATCATCGTACACGGTCGTGTTGGGAGCAGCGAATAACCGATGCGTTATACTAAATCGCTGTGATATTATTCTCGGTATCGAATTTTTTAACAACGGGAAACAACAGAACACGACCCGATCAGTCGTCTAGGGTTTTGTAAACACCGAGTTGGGTTCCGAAGTCGATCTCTTTGGAACAAATGAGACACGGACGATTCAACTCGGTTCGAACATGATCGCATAGCATGTCCTCGACGGTCGGCAGTGCATCGTAATCGCCCGTTAAATACACCCAGAAATTAATCTACCGCAGGTTTGCCGCCGCCTTTAATTGACTCTTGGATTTTTTATTATTTTAAGATTCTCGGTCTCGTTTTGTATTTAAACGCTAAAGTCACGCGTTAAAAACAGCAGCAGCAATAAACAATAATAATAGAAGAAAAAAATGAGAACGAATTCCGCTCTTCTAATAACATAACCGCGTCGACATACGACGCGGTTATTTTTTACACTATCTGGCTGCCAACATCGGCTCGGTGGTATAAACGACGTCTAGACGACGACGAAACTATTAATTAATAACACATTTTTATTAATTTACGGTCGAGACCGTAAAAACTCAATTGAATAGAAAATGGAATAGTTAAACCGAAATATTAAGGTGTATTGTACAGGGCTGGTTGGGAGGCCACGGAGCACATGTACATTTTCGTATGGGGTGTAAATAAACATTCACATGATGTGTAACACGCGCGGTCGTGTACGACTATGATGTTGTACGTCCTCCCGAAATATACTCGATTGGTTTCACAACTTTATTGAAATTGATCCAACAAAACAAACCATCAACATCATCTATACGTTTACCAATTTTTTTATTTATTATAATTGTGTGTTTTCGTTTACACAGGGGCCGTATCCATGACAACGTCGGACGACGAACAAGACGAAGAAAACGGACCGATACACGGCAAAAAATTACCCAGAAAATTGTCAAACACCTGCCGGCAGTGTGCCATGGGTTTCCTCAGCTTTTCCGAACTGTCGGAGCACAACAAAACTTGCGTGCTCCGCACAGAGGCCGCCGACAGCGAAGACGACGAGCAGCAGAACCGTCGTCGTCGTAAACGGGCGAGGCGGCACGATCGAAACGTCGACGTTGACAAATACGACTACGATGACGACGACGAGGATGGCGATGGCGAACTCCAAGAAATCCACGAGGGCCACGACGACGACGACGACGAGGCGCTGAATGTGACCACGGAACGGTCGTCGTACGAACGGCAACGGTATGGGCATCGTCGTCGTCGAATCCGCGACGTCGCTGAAGCGGCAGATTTGAGATGCAACGGAGGAAGACACGATGGAGGCGACAAAACGCACGAAGAACAGCGGAGACGGCGGCGGCAGGACGCGGAAAACAACAACCGCCGGCGTTACAGCGGTGGTAGCGTCGTCGTCACCGCCGCAGGACGGGAACCGGACGAATCGGGCACCGGCGGTTTTCCGTTTGGTTTCGCAAACGCGGGTGCGGTGGGTCCCGCCGCGATAGACGCGTTGTCCCAACACCACCTACAGCAACAACAACAACACATTCCGGGACACGTCACTCTGGAAGCGCTACAAAACACCAAGGTGGCGGTAGCGCAGTTTGCCGCTACCGCTATGGCCATCGCCAACAACGGAGGCGTTGCAGCCGCCGGCAATCCTAACGTACTCCAAGATCTGGCCATAGTCAATTCGACACTGTTCACGCTGCAGCACCAACAGATGATGCAGCTCAGCCTCATACAACAGTTGCGGCAACAGTTGCAGATCAGTCGCCGCGGCGGACGGGACGAAGAGAGCGATTGCGCCGGGTCGGCAACGTCGCTTACGCCTACCCTCCCGCCGTCGACGAGCGCGGCCGACATCGGTACCGGCGGCAGTACCGACGGTTCCGACCGGATGTCGCCGAACAACGGCGACGACGACAACGACAACGACGACGAAGAAGACGACGTTGTGAGATATGACGATGAAAAATCGACCGGTGGTGACTTGCCGCCGCCGCTATCGACCGTCGAATCCGATCTACGATTACTTCTACGACGACGACCGTCGCAAACACCGCCGCTCAGCGATCGGGCGACCGCCGTTCGACGAACCGACACCATAACGCCGTCATTCACTGCCGCCGCGTTCAGTCGATCTCCGACGCCGCCGCCGTCTCGTTCGCCGGCATCGGCGAGCGTCGCCTCCACCGCCGTTGCGGCTTCGTCAACAACGACGCCGCCACCGCTCATCAACGGTACACGTTATCCGACGGTGCAGGCCGTGGACAAGAGCGCGCCGACGTCGTCATCGACGTACTCGTCCACAGCCGCCCCCGCTCCGATAACCACACATCACGATTTCATACCGTCCTGTTCGGTGTCGTCGGCTTTCGCGTCGTCCATCATCACTAACCTGGACCCACCGCCATCGCCCAGCGAGCCCAACACGTTGGAAATGCTGCAGAGGCGCGCCCAAGAAGTGCTGGACAAGGCCAGCCAAGGGTTGTTGGCCAATAACCTGGCGGACGAGCTTTCTTTCCGGAAGGGCGGAGGAGCCGGCGGACCTAACGGCGTCGGCAACGGCAAGGGCAGCGGCGGTTCGCTATCGCCGTACGGCGACGGCAAGTCTTCGTCCGGTGGCGGTGGCCGAGGTGATAATTTCTACAAACACCGATGCCGGTACTGCGGCAAAGTGTTTGGCAGCGACTCGGCCCTGCAGATACACATCAGATCGCACACGGGCGAACGGCCGTTCAAATGCAATGTGTGCGGTAGCCGGTTCACCACCAAGGGCAACCTGAAAGTGCATTTTCAGCGTCACACGACCAAGTTTCCGAACGTCAAAATGAACCCGCTGCCCGTGCCCGAACACCTGGACAAGGAATTCCCGTCTTTGATACCGCCGCACTTGAGCGGCGGCAGCCCTCATCATCATCATCATCAGCAGCAACAGCAACAGCAGCACCATCACAGTGGCAATTCTCAACAAAACGTATCGGTAGCGGCTACTTCACCGATATCCCATCATCAACATCCGCATTCGCATCATCATCAGTTTTCCAACGCCGCCGCCGTCGCTTCGTCGTCGCCTTCGTTTTCGGCTGCGGCCGCAGCCGCCGCGGCGGCTTTATCGTTGTTCCGACCGGCCGCTGCGGCCGGTCATCACGGACTCGGTCAGGCGTCTCAACAAACGCAACAACAGTCGGCGGCGGCCGACGGTATTACCGCGGCCGTACTCGCCGCCTCCGGTCTACAGCAACAGCGTTCGGCGGTCGAACAGCGCGGCACCGGCGGCCCATCGCTGCAAAACTTTTTCCATCGGTTCGAACGAGAACACGAGCATCAACAGCATCATCAACAACAGCAAGATCAACCGGAAAATCTAAGCAGCAAACCGGCCGTCGCTTGTTCTTCCCGCGATTCGACATCTTTGTCGCCGGTTCTCCCGGCACCGCTACCGACCACAGAAACGTCATTCGATGATAAATTGGAAGACTACGATGACGACGACGCCGATGAAGAGGCGGTGGCGAAGCCTGCTGACACGGCCGAAGGCTTACGGCGGCGCCAGCGACTGGCGTGCAATGACGTGGATGCGCAGACAGACGAACTCAGCGTGGACACAAAGTACAGCGACGACGAAGACGAAGACGATCTCAACGACGGAGGAATACAAACGGACCTACCGGAAAATCTATCGAACAAAAGTAATTGTAAAGATTATTTACGCATAAAAAAATAGGAGGAGGGGGTTGAACAGGTTTCACTATTTCGGCTGACGAATTTTTTTCCGTATAGATTTTAAATTATTATAATCGCTTCGGTATATTGATATTATTGTTTTTATTTTTAATTTAACAGGTGCTAGAATGCTTTCTAGTCCGCCGCCGCCGTTAATGACGTCTGACGACGATTCCTGCTCGCCCCGACCCACGTCATCGTCTTCCAACAACAAGTACCACCGCGGCGAAGTCGGGTCCCGGCCCGAATCTCCCGTCACGAATTTCAGCCGGTACTCACCTCCACTGGACCTGACGCCCAAGCATTCGTCAGCCGCCGCTGTGGCCGCCGCAAATCACATCATCTCGGCGTATCTACCACCGTCGTTTGGCGGGCTGATGGCCAGTGCCGCAGGTGCCGCTACCGGATCTGTCATGTCCGGTCACGGGCCGTCTTTTGGACCTGCCGGTAAGTAAGACGTGACGACACCGCACCCAGAGAAAAACGTCGATCTATATGATAAATTCATTGTTCAATTTGATAAATATATCATTACTATTGAATCTATGATATATTTATCAATATGATTATTTTTTTTCTTATCTTGAACAATAATTATTCATAAGAATAATTATTTTGTTCGTATTAATAAAACATTATCATAAATCCTTGATAAAATTTCTCTATCAAAATTGATTGAGGTTTTTCTTTGGGTGCGGCAAAGACGACATTTCCAACCTTTCTTTTTGCACAATTCGGCGAGCAACAAGAACTGGGTGGGGTCAGACTGGGTTTTTTTGTAAAATTCAAAAGCGTCTCTTTACAGTAACCGAGGATCGTTTGTACGTGTGCTCGTTTAGTCAGGTTTTAATCGAATCATCGTCATCAATACAAATTGAATGTCGTACGGTATTGTGTGTGAAGTGTACTCTACACGAAAAAAAAAGAAAAAGTCATACGCGCTCGGCGTCCGAAATAGACGTTAATTCTTTCTTTAATTTATTTCTGTTCTGTTATGCGCATGGTTTTTTTTTTATCCGTTCCATTGTAATGGCCGGACAATGTACCGGGTCGGGATAAATTGCACGCACTTTTTGGCACTACGACGAATGCTGCTGCTACTGCTACGGAGAGCGCGGCTCGTCGCATATACACCATAGCCGGATACCTACTCCTCCACATCCTTCTCCTCCGGTCGTAGTAGCATCGGCATTATCATAAGCAGACGTCAACGAGCGCGCTAGCAGCAAAACGTGACAATGTGCATTGACATTTAAACGGCCGAAGAATTGTTCGTCGTCGTCAGGTTTTTATATTTAGACGCCCCGCCGCCGTCACCGTTAATCGAATCGAAAATGAATCTCGAGTATTTCTTTTTGCCTATAGTACACGTGGCTCGCAAACTCTAGACGACGAACGCGATACACGTCGTCGATACATATAATTATTTATATGTATATATATATATAAAATGCACGATTGAATATTTCGTTTTGGGCACTGCGACCACAGGGAGTATTTATAACGTACAAGAGTCTGGCGTCTAAACGTTGCGACACGAAATTAAAATAAAACGATTTGCAGAGATATTAATGACTGAAGAGAAAATACGAACGAATTTATAATTGAATATGTATACGAAAATATTTTGTCTAATTTTCAATTACATTACACGTGTTTTATTTTAATATGTACTTTGCATATGGTTTTTTACATTACGCAGTACTCCCAGTGTACCCATAACGACGACAATCTAATCGCACAGCCGCGGTGCATCTTTCTGACACACACTCATATCGTGTCATATTATCTGCACGAGGTAAAAAATGTTGAGCGCTCGTCTAGTGTGTGTGTGTACATTGATCTTAACGGCATCTGATTTTCTCGAAAGCCGTTTCGTTTTCCTTGGGTAAAGTTTGTCGGTGGGTCATCTCTTTCTATGCATTTTACACGATGAGACGCGTTCGAAATTTTTTTGGCATTGCAAATAAAACCCCAATCGGTTTTTAACACAACCACCCGTGTTAGTATAAACGTGTGCATAGTTTCGTTCGTTTAGTGGGCCATTGGGTTCATCGGACCGGACGTGTCGCGGGAGGGTGGGCTGTTAGCTCGATAATTATTGCAATCACTGGTAATGAGCGAGAGATAACCCTATGGCGTCTAACAAACTCGCCCTACAAAAACGATCGCGGAACAGACCTTCGACGAGTACCCCGCCGAACACACGTTTCATTTTTGAATCTTTCACGTTTTTTGAAGGATAGAGAGAGTAAAAAACGTTTTTTACCCTTTACAAAAAAAAACTCGACCAGCTCCGACGTACCCGAAACGTATCGGGTAGTCAGGTCAGATTCACGTGTAAATATACAACAACACCTCAATCGCCACCGCCCCCCGAATGTATGTTCTGGTTATTTTTAAATTACAAACACGATTAAGGCGCGCGATTCCCGTTGGGATTTAATGTTGACGAACGGTGAGAGGGGGAAGTGCAGAACCCGAGGAAACAAACATAACGCACTCGAATTTCCGGCGTTTTTAGGATTTTATGAAATATTATCGGTTTAATATGGTTTTTTTTTTGGTATATTTCAGCGACCCGAGGAAACACCACGTGCAACATCTGTTTCAAGACGTTCGCGTGCCACTCCGCACTGGAAATTCATTACAGGAGTCACACCAAGGAGAGACCGTTCAAATGCACTGTTTGTGACAGAGGATTTTCCACAAAGGTACGACCCGTATTTGCATTCTACAATACCAGACTAATGTATAATATCATACTCGATAGGTTTATACGAAAAGTTCGTATAATATTAACGTAAATGTAATAAAAAATCTTACTTATATTTAGAGTATATATATTTATAAACGGATAAAATTATGAGCTCTGTAAACTTTCTATACCATCATAATATTAGTGTTCCTAGTAGTAAACTTCCTCGCGTGTATCGACGGCATATTTCGGATAGAAAGACTCGCACGTTCAACGAAATACAAATTATGGATTCTCATTATACCGAGAATAAATATTTGAGGGCAAAATATCATTTTTTTCTACCAATTCAGTTACACGGTCACTGTACTAGATAACGACGACGCAATGCCACCGATATCAATAGGTAATTTCTATAAGATTTCTCATAGACGCGGGACACACAAACATTGATGTCGTTCATTCGGAAATGATAAAAAATATCTTTGGCCAAATCCGATTTTTCCATTTGTCATAACCGGTTTGCGAAAACGAATCGTTCCTATTCCGTTTCCACTAATATCCAACACGTCATTATTCAACTTTTGCCATTGAAATTTTTTGTTCGTTTTAGAGTCAGGCGAGTTATATATAAATATAATTTTTTTTTCACTCCGTTTTAATGAATCATTATACCATAACACATTAATATAATAATCCCTAGTTATTTTTCATTCGATAGCGTATCGTACGCGCACACGAATTGCAAAATATATAAATATAGAATATAATTTATATACATTAAGAATATGTATATAAAGTATATATACTCTTATATATAGTAACTATGTACTACTGTCGTCGCGCATGGCGAGACAACTGCGGTTTTTTTTTTACTTTTATATTGATTTTCTCTTTTTCCTGTCGATTTATACGATCGGGTTTTTTTCGTACACGATTCGATGGGATGCGCGCATTTAATAACGTATCCCAAGAAAAGAGATGTGCCACTTCCGCGTAATGGTTGTGTCTCGATGTGTATACGGAAATGTACGTTTACGTTTAGTAAAAAAGTACCTTAGAGATCAATGTGTATACACATAACATCATTGGTCGTATTATTTGAAATTATTTCCACTCGAAATGATGACGGGATTTTTTGGTTAATATACCAACACATCATCGTCGTCATACACGGAAATGAATTTTTCTTTTTTTTTTTAATTGAAAACAATAAACGTGTGACGGTTTGCATGCGTGATTAGACTTTCGGCCGGATTTACGCCTTTTACCATCCTTTTATCGTTATTATATTGATGCTACAACACCTATCGTTGGGTGTGTTATCAACTCCACATTAAATATTAAAAATCTCGATGTCCAACGCGCGTGTCACAAAGTTTCTCCTCCGAATACTCCTGTCCAAGATCACAACGGTCAACACCTCGTCCTATCGACCGCGCATCGAGTCTTGTTACTATTGAAAAACTAAATTTACCTTTCTTTTACTTTAAATCGCAACACGATACTGAAAGACAACCGGACTAACTAATGCGAGCCCTTAGCTCGACCGACACTAGACTGTAGCGCATAAAAACTGAAACGGACACGCGAGAATTTTCCATCTCGATGAACAACAAAATTTGTTTTAATTAACAGCTTTGAAAGTTCGTAAAATTTCAGTATGAATTCTGCACGTGTTGCAGGGTAATATGAAACAGCACATGTTAACGCATAAGACTCGTGACATGTCTACCGGTGGCGGCAGCTCAAGCGGAGTTTACGATGTCAACTCCACCAGTTGCGGTCACGACGATACGGCCAGTAACACAAGCTCCGAAAGCCGAGACACTCAACATCATCATCATCATCAACAGCAGCAGCAACAGCAAATGATGTTCTTGTCGGCTGCCGCAGCCGCTGCGGGCGTCAATCACGTAGCGATACCGTCCAATTCATCAGCGGCGGCAGTGACCACCGGCGGTGTCCATTCGATCCCGATCGGCGTGCAAAACTCCGCAACGGTATCGGTGGCGAACGCATCCACCTGCACGCCGCCGACCGCCTCGTTCGACGAATTTCCGACGACAACGGCGGCGACCATTGTTGCCGGTGTCGCAGCGGCCACAACTCAACCGAAACCTATAGTCTTGCCACCGATTTCGGTACCGTCACCGTTGTCTTCGTTGACACCGACGGTTACCGTTGCGACAAATGGCGGCGTTCAAAACCACAACAACGTGAACAGCAGCACCGGCAACGTCGTCATCGTTAACAACAACAACAACAATAATAATAATAACAATAACAACGTCAGAAAGGGCGAATGTCTATCGTTATCACCTAAACGTTCGTTGCCGGATTCCGATATCGGTCTACCGATACCCAAGAGACAACCGAGTGAGTACCACCATAACCTCAGAATTTATTTCATCCATCATAGTAACTCACACGATTGTGAGCGAATTTTTTTTCTTTTGTAAAACAATTTTTTTATATGAGACATTGTGCCAACACATGAGCATTAACATAGATAGAATATATATAATATGTTTTTACTAATACGAGTAATTTTCTAACATAGGTTCGCCGAAACATTTATGTCACGTGTGCAACAAAAACTTTTCATCATCGTCCGCTCTCCAGATACACATGAGAACTCATACGGGCGACAAACCTTTCCGATGCACAGTTTGTCTGAAAGCGTTTACCACCAAAGGCAATTTAAAGGTAAGAACGGTGGTAATCGAAACATAGTCAATTACTATATGATAGCCCAAAAATCATCATATTGGACAATGTCAAAAAATCAAATTTAAATTTTGTAACGTAATAGAATATATATCTGATTTTTTAAAATTGGCTGTAACGGTTCTTATATATATATATATACCGTGTCACGATATGCGTTCGCTAAATATTTTCCAAATCTAATGCCTAACTCGTTCGTATTGCAGGTACATATGGGAACGCATATGTGGACCAACGGAACTTCTAGAAGAGGTCGGAGGATGTCTCTGGAGCTGCCGCCGCCCTTACAAATGACCAACAGCGGTGGCGTCAAGGAAACGGACTTTATGCAGAGAAGGCCTGACATTTACTATCATCCTTTTTTGCCCGGCCCGTTTCTGAACGGCATACACCAACAAAAGGTACATGCGAGTAACCGGTCCGCGGCGGCAGCGGCAGATCTGTACTATCACGCCTAAAAAAAACGACGACCGACACAGTCCGAGTGGAGAGAGAGAGAGAGAATCGAAACAACGGGTAGGTGTGTGTAGCGTACGACCGAAATTACAGACGAGAAGATTTGGCGAGATGTGGGAGAGGAAAATAAGGAAAGGGGAGGGACGAGTCTGAGAGAATAGTGTAGAGACGGGTGGGTTAGTCTTTAGTATTGCAAGAGGACAGGGACCTCTCGCCGACCTCCAAACCTATCCACTAATCTCTACCAGTCTTAACCTTTGCGCTTGATGCGGACGACTTGCCTAAAGGGAGAGATCGTACGAGAAATTCAAAAATGTTGCCCCCCCGGCGCCCGACAAACACGAGTACGGTTAACCCTTTTTAAAAATTCTCGCGAGAAAGAACACATCACTCAGATCCTCAAATCCTCATATGCCCCTCCACCACACAGATGTCTATAATCTTCGGGGTCGTTCATTTTCCGATAGAAATCGTAGTAAAACGCTGATAGTCCTTCGATGATCTAACGAATTTTTATTTTTCTAGATAAACGAGATATCGGTCATACAAAACGTGAACAGCAACGTGAGCAATCGTATTTTGAGCGGATTCGGTAATTTTGGAGGTGCCGTCGCATCGTCGTTTGCTAGTGATTTGTTGCTGAATAAGACGACAACGGATTCAGTAACAGATAAACAGCAGCTCTCGCCGCCATCATCTCACCGCCATCCCTTCGTCGATCACCATCATCATCGGCTACACCAGCATCATCAACACCGTTTGAGCACGCCGCCGTTGTGGGATTTGCAGTACGACGGGCGAACGCCCGCTACCGTCAACATCGAGTCCGTTGAGGCGGCCGCGGCCACGGCCGAAGACGAAGATGACGACGACGACGATAGGGATCATCGCCGTCGACGCCACCGACAACTCGACGATCACGCGTCCCAATCGCCGCCACAGACTCCGCCGTCAATTTCTCATACCAACCATATCGGCCAGAATCGCACCGAGGGCTTGGCCACATAACATTTTCTCGAATATTTGCGTTTTAACCGGTAAAACTCAAATGTTGGTCGCGCACACGGTGACACACAACGTCTGGTCATCGCAATCTTTACACACGCCGAAGGTGATAACATCAGGTTACCACTACTACCGAACGGGTTACAATAGATGTAAAACACATCCGCACTATATTTTTTCATTTTTACTGTTAGAAATATACTGTGTATAACAATTTTTGTAAGGTCTAGAATAAAAATTTTAAACTGATAACTTCTATCGACGAGATTCGCTTTTCTTTTCATAGTCGACATCTTTGAAAATCGTTATTTGTGTCGATTTTGTTTTAAAACCATTTGTTTCTTCATTATACTCTACTAATTAAACATGAAAAAAATCATATTATATGCACCCGTCTACGAGATTTTGACAAATCCATATAATTTTCTTATAACTATTTGTAAAAACCTCGTGGAACGCCGTCGTATAGTACGATACGCGCACGAACGTTACATTGTTTATATGTTTGTCGTTTACGGTGTATCAACTATGTATTGTTGTTATTTATTCTTACGATTTATGAATTGTCAAAAATCGATGAGATTGATTAATATTTAATTAATTCTGTATCAAAACGTCGAGTTTCTTTGCTTTCTTAGATTTTAGTAATTTTTCCGAAACCTAAACCATATTTGTATTAATTGCTGATATCTATCACCACTATATGTATTTACCTCTTAATTGTAATATTATAAATTATTATTTATGTAAAAAAAAAAAAAAATGATATGTGTGTATATATGATTGTATAGTAAATATTGTAATATCATTATCTAATAAAATAATTAATTATTATATACTTAAGTAATTATTATCATTGTGTTTGTATAATAATAATAATTGAATAATTATAATTATCAGCAATTGTTTTCATTTATAACGATTTTGTAACGACTAATAGATAAAATAATGTTACTCTAAACGGATTCGTACTAATTCGTCTTAATATCATGTACCAGAATTAAGGTGGTAAACGTGCGAAATGTACTCTAATTAATAATGTGTAATATAAAATGTATTATAGTATTCCGATGGTATTTGTAAAAGTACAAATACATACGCGGTGAAATTTGCACCATCGGAACTGTTGTGTTGTAATCGGACATGCAAAAGTTAAATTAAAATAATAATTTTTTTTTTGAAAGACACAACTTTATTTTACGGGTTTAGAATAATTTTTGTATTGTTGACAATGTAATTGAGGACGCGATACAAATGAATATAAATATACCTTTTTTTCTAAATAAAATATTATTATTATTATATTGTAATTATTATTAGTATTGACAAGCTATTATTGTAAATGTTATTATTTATTGATGAATGTTCCTAAAATTACTAGTCCAAAAAAAATGAAAAATTTTATAAAAAAAAAATAATAATAATGAAATGATTTTACACGCAAAAGCCTATATTGTAATTTTTATCGATTTATGTATAAATCAAAATATTGTAATAAAATTTAGAGTTGTCACTGAATCTCACATGAATTGTAATAGATAGTTATAGTTGAATTATATTTATATACATATATCACAATTATATAAATAAATGTAAATACGATATTATAAAAATTGCATCACTCATTGTTAAAAAACCTCGCGATTAGGAATTCTTACGATATAAGATTTCTGATTGGTTCTAATTTTCTTAGGATTAAGTTTAAGATCTTCGGTCCTTTCAATAACTGCTTTCTATTGGTTTTGCGACTATTGGTTTGCCTCTGCTGACATCATCTCTGTGGTTCACTAAATGTCCCGTTTTCACATTAAGATTTTCAATTTTAACGATTTTTCTACGATAAGCTGTTAGTTTACGCTTTTGTTCCGATAGGTTATTCGTAGAATCCCAAATTTTCGTCCCAAAATCGTTTGTGGTTTTTTTATGTTTTTATCCATATAATTCTTAGTCGAGAAATAAAGGCCCATCACAGCACAATTTGATACTGTGATAAGGCTCAATAGATCTGTGGTGTGCCAGATGCTATAGAGGATATTAATGGTCACTTTACCTTTCAGCTAAGTGTCTTGTGACAAGGCCAATTCTTGAGTATGGTACTATTGTTTCGAATCCACATTTTTAATCTGATGACTGTCAAATTGATTGAATACAATGGAAATTTTTACGGTATTCTGGATTTATATTGGGTATTCAACATGCTCCTCATGATTATAGTTTCGTTGCAAACATACTCAATTTGATATCGTTGGCGGACCGTAGAATTAAAGCAGGTCTAAAATTTTTAAATGGATTACTCGATGATAAAATTGACTCAACCTATTTCCTATCATTAATTAATTTTAAAGTCTCACAGAGAAATTGACGTTCCTATTTTTCATTTTTCACTCCAGTTATCCAGTATTTCAGAAGTTATTGACAATTTTATACCTAGGAGGGAGGAAGAGTACAGTTAGGAAATGTCTAGTGATAAAAATATCAGTATCCCATCTTCACCTTCACCTATTACTTTTAATTGTTAATAATGGATAAAATACTGATAAAAAAGTTGTAATTGATTAGTTATTTACTTAATTACACATAATTTTCTATTTTATAACAATTTAAATATGTATGTTGCCGTATAAAAAAATTAACTCTATAAAACGTTAAAGATGAACATAAAAATATTTTATAGTTAATAAACCATGACACATGTTTAACTAATAAAAGAAAAAATAAATAAAATTTGCAGAAAATTATTTTTCTAAAAATAATTGAGTGGATAGCGTTAAAAAAAATTGCTATATGTGCAATGTTTAAAAATAACAATTATTTATAATCGACGAATTAAATATAAATACACAGCCTAACCCAATCGTTATTTACTTATTTTTGTATAAAACGTGGTTGATCCAATATAAAAATTTAACAATAGTTACAAAAATTATACATTTATCATCATTAGAACAATTACATAATGTATATCAAATTAATAAGCCCTGCACAGGGGGGTCGCGGCACAGTGGTGACGTGGCATAGTTATTATCAAGTATAATGATATCTGACAGTGATTAAAATCACTATAAAAAAAAACGCTTTGATGCAAATCTTTAGATAGTGTTTAATTTAAAAAAAATTGTGGATTATTCCAAAAGCTACATGATCTGCTAGTTCCTTATTAATATCCTGATTAAGATAAAGTATGCCGAATGAAAAAGGGNTAAAAAAAATTGTGGATTATTCTAAAAGCTACAAGATCTGCTAGTTCCTTATTAATATCCTGATTAAGATAAAGTATGCCGAATGAAAAAGGGATTATTAAAAAATATTATTTCTCATAAAAAAATTGTGTTGATCGATACACTTTTCAATCAGTTATAATATAATAAAGTTAAAAATAAAAAATATTAAATCAAGAATTTTCACACAAAAATAGCATTCCGGTAGCTATTTTCACTATGAAGATAAAATAAAGTCAGAAATTTTTTTTTTTTATAATAAAGTATATTACATAAGCTTTAATTTAAGATATATATAAAAGTGTCAATATTTCCGGAACACTTTCAAAAGTTAAGTTGAAAAATTTAATATTTTGTGAAAAAGTTGTCATTTTAAATCCCCACCTTAGTGCAATTTTAGGGTCAAATTTATAAAAAAAATATACTAAATGTAAGGTAATAATATTATGCATCTATATAAAAAAGAATTATATTGATATGTTCTTTTTTGAAAAAGTTATGGCACTTTTAAGTAAAAAAAATTGAAAAAATTTCGAAAATTAGCGATTTTTAAATTTGTAATTTTTTTGGAGGTTTCCCCCATTTACGGGGAACGAGGGAAATTTTTTCAATTTTTGAGGGTAATGTCTTCGACTAGATACGATTTGTGATCTTTTGACGTATCATTGAAAGAAATCGGTTCGGTGAGAACTGAGAAAAAGTGGTAACAGACACAAAAAAAAAAAACACATCATAGTAAAACCATTACCTTCTCAGCTTCGCATCGAAACAGAGCACAGCAATGAAAAAGAAAATGTAAGTATATGTATACAAACACAAAAAAAATTCGATTAAAAAAAGAGGATGGCTAATTTTATCATTCGCAGAATCGAACGGTTAGTTGTATTCCTGGTGAAACGAAAAAAAAGAAAGAATGGATATATGGAACGGGAATTGAAAACAGAGATACGAAAATTTAAAAACTACAACAGTTCTAGAAAATCAATACTAGCATCAACTAACATACGGAAAACAAAGTAAATGCGCTTCCTTACTTCTATCAGCTAAAATCAATAGATTTAGCTTCTTAAATACCAGTATGTAATCATGCATAGTTTTTTTTTATTGTAAATAAATTACAATTTTTTTATTTTTATTGTATGTTGATTGTTGGGTTTTTAATATATGTAATTTAGCTTTATATCTTTCTTCTAAATTATCTGCATAACTTTTTGCATATTCCTGATCAATTACTTCACATATATACAAATGTCAATTTAAAGGTAGTCATACCAATAGAACGTTGATAAGAGATATTTAAGGCAATTTGAATTTTAGGAACTACTTAATACCTTTTTTCAGGCTTGTCAATATTTAACTTAAACACTTAGAACTTAGAAAAATTGAATTATATAACCTCTAAATTTGTCTTTTACCTCTAGGAACTCCAGGTATTATTTTCATATGTTGGTCAGAACGATATCTATTGAAATTTTCTGATAAAAATAACGCTCCTTTGTCTGTTACTAGTCTAACTGGATTTCCAAATATAGTTTTAAGATTATTCAACTTTTACTTAACTTCTGTTGAAGTAACTCTTCGAATAGGGTATGGCCAGCAAAACTTACTAAGGCAATCTTATAAAGGATTCTTAGACATCTATTACAGAAAAATTATGTTTATATCCATTCGGCATTAGTGCTAATGGCCCAAGAAAATTAATATGAAAGGTATGAAAAAAGTTATTATCAGTAGCATCTCTTAGAAGTAACATTGCTCCAAATCCATGGATTCTAGCATCTGTGTGTACTTCTGACTCTGTTTTTGAGTTGAAAGTATGAAGGATTTTAGTCTTTAGTTTTTTTTTCAACATATTCATAGCAAAATGCTTATTAGATCCAAATATAATTGGAACATCTTTCTTCAAAAGATCACTCAATGACAATGTTATATAATGTTGAATAATAAATTATAAATTCCAAGAAATAACCATCTAATCCTAAAAAACTTTGCAGCATTTTGGCTGTTCTAAGTATATTGTAATGTTGCAGAATTTGTACTAGTTTGTTTTTATAAATCTTATCAGTTACTGGTGTGTGCATTAGATGTAAAGGTTTTTTGATAGTATTCTTTGGGATAACCTCCACCAGTTAACCGTTTTGATATATTTTATCCTATTTTCATCAGCTGACCGTACACTGTGCACCTGTAATAATATTCTTGTACTTCTCCCCAATGACCTTATTCAAAGTTCGCATTACGATGTTATGACGACTGATTTTTCTTCTTAGCTATACTACTGAGGTGACAAGTTGTTTGTCTTTATGTTTTTTTTTATGGCGAAAACCACGTTCTCTTTTTAGTTTTTTTTGTCCTCCGACTTTTTTCTCTTAAAAATAAAACGTTGAGTTGATCAGCTGCTACTTTTTGTTCCTCAACGTGTCAAATTCTCTTCAGTAGACAACTGCCTTTCCAAAGGTATGGGCGATAAGGCATTCAAGATAATAAAACGATTTTTCAGCGAACATTGAAATAGGTCAACGTTTTTAAAAAACAATGATGGAAAAGTTATAAGTGATGAAGAGGAAAAACTAAAGACGTGGAAAGTTTCATAGAAAAACTATATGGAAACGAGCAAGCAGACACGATACAATTATCCATTACGAGGCGAGAAGATATGCAATGCATCACAGGACCACCTATATTAAGAGAAGAATTTGAAATAACCTTAAAAGAACTTAAAAGTAATAAAGCACCTGGGATAGATGAGTTAAACGGAGAACTATTAAAGGCATTAGATGAGTATAGAAAAGATATTCTGTTTAGAATAATAGGAAAAGCATGATACTGGCATCATTCCGAAAGATTTCGAGAAATTCATTATAATGCCCATTCCCAAGAAAAAGAAATCAGAGAGATTCGAAGAATACAGAACAATTATCTTCATAACACATGCNTATTATAATTCATTATAATGCCCATTCCCAAGAAAAAGAAATCAGAGAGATTCGAAGAATACAGAACAATTATCTTCATAACACATGCTTCTAAGATTCTCACAAAAATAATGAACAAAAGAATAGAGTCAAAGATAAATGAAAATTTAGCTGAAGACCAATTTGGTTTCCTGAAAAATAGAGATACTACAAAGGCGATATATTATGCTTAAGAATAATCATAGAGAAAATGTTTAGAATCAACAAACCACTGTTTATGCCTTCTTAGATCTGAAAAAGGCCTTCGACAATGTTAAATCAACAATAACGATAGAAAATAAAAGAATAGACAATAAAGATAGAAAAATTATACATAATCTGTACATCAATGAAATCGCACTTATAAAAGCTGAAAAAGGTAACAACCAGGTGGAGGCTAAAATTGCCAATG